GTAAAAAAATCATGATTTAAATCAAAATTATTTTTTTACTAATAACTGTTTTCTCTTTTTATTCTACATGATTGAAAAGTATATGCAATGCAGCAGGCTAATAACATTATTTGGATTTACAGCATTATGTACTGTACTATAGTCTGTTCTCTCCAGTTTTGCAAAACTTTGATCATATCATAAGGTCTCATTATTAATGTATATATTTACATGAAATATATTGTTAACTAAGATAATAAATACTATTGAAATTCAGAAGAACTGTAGTATTCTCTTCTCCCGGCATTATATATCAGTCAATAAGGAGCAAGGGGCTGTACATTTTTGCAAAGCTAGAGTGAACAGGCTGTAGGCACTAGGTTATACATATTCAGATATTCTATTTTCATCACTTAGTATGTTCTTTTTAAACAACATAAGTAGTATTTCTGATCAAAGAAGCATAACTTGTCTTTTTCGTTGTAATAAACTTCGAAAACTATCACAAATTATTTTAGTAACCAGGATTATGTATATTGATGCATTGGAATGAAATATGCAACCGTAAAAACAGAAATATATAGTTTAGCGTATCCTGAACGGCGGCCATCTTGAAATTCAATATGGCGCCCACAGAGGTTGAGTTTCTAGTGGTTCCATATCTGAAAATATTCACCATGTATTACTCTATATCTGTGCCACAGTTAATGCTTTCATCATAAAATGCACAATTGTTTGGCTATGCCGCTGTACTATTAGCTTTGTTTCGAGCAAATACACAGTTTACTTGGCTTAAGATTCCTACTTATCATTACTCCTAAATCTTTCTCACAGTCTGATTTTTCAATAACATCGTTGTTCATATGGTACCTGGTTTCCCTGTTTACATCACATATACTAAGTACCGTATATACTCGTGTATAGTTCGAGTTTTTAAGACCAAATTTTTAGGCAAAAAATCGGGGGTCGTCCTATACATGGGTAACAGTTTTGTTAGGTTGAATCCGTGCATGATGGGAAGGGCGAGGAGCAACTTTTAGCTTCAGACATGAAAAATATTTACCGTTTATTGCCAGTAAACAATGGAAACGTAAAATATGTACCAATTAGTAATGAAAAGTTGTGCAGTTCTTTCAGTAAATGAAGCTCACCAACTTACAATGGGCTAAATTACCTTTCAATGTGCTTTCAGTAGTCCATGTTGAAGTTCTTAGCACAGGCTAACTTATCATATCATATACAGTATCACAGTTCTCATTGATCTACAAAAAATACCGGTAATAAAAACCTTTTCGATATTTCACACTTAATATAATACCCGGTAATCTACTTCAACCTCATATTGTTTACAACGACGCATCACTCACCACCAGCTGTATCTGCTAGACGGTACACGTGTTTTTCTAATCGTTTTCAGTTAAAAAACTATTACATCACATGTATATTTAACCTAAACTGCGCCTGAATGTATTCTCGGAAATAAAAGTAGTTTTGCTGAAACGTGATGTATTTCAATGTAAAATAGGATAAAATACATGACGAAAACAAAAGACTTTACCTAAGCTTCTGTTCTTGAGATGTTACTCGTTTTTTTAATAGTTTTCGGTTAAAATTCTGTTATATTACAATGATATTCTATTCATACTGTGCTTGATATAATACATTCACGGAAATGTAATATTTTTGCTGAAATTACTTACGTATTAAAGTGGAAAGTGGGATAGAATCGTGACGAAAACAATGACTTTCGCTTTCTTTCGTTCAAAAGATGTTACCGTAATCGCTTTTCGAATGGTTTAGTTAAAAACTGTTGTATTACAATAATATTCCCTCCTAATTGACTTGAATAAATACTTGAATGGAAATATACAATATTTTTGTTGAAACTACCCGCGTTTCAGTGTAAAGTGTCGTAATAATAAATGGTAAACAATTTGCCTTCGGCACTCGTGTTTCATGCACGGCGAGCCTCAGTTTATAGGACGTAGAGCGTTTTTAGTGAAGGTTTTGTTGTTCCATTACCCTCAAAAACGTGGGTCGAACTATAAACGAGGAATATCGTAAATTAACGATTTCTTGGTCAAAAAATCAGGGTCGACCTATAAACGAGGGGGGGTTATAGACGAGTATATACGGTACTTTACATTTGTCCACATTGAATTTCACCTGCCATTTTTCAGACCATTCAAAATTTTTTTTTAGATCTTCTTGTAGTTTTTTGGGAGTCCTGGTCAGATTTAATTACACGCCCTATTTTAGTGTCATCAGCAAATTTACTTATGTTGCTGTCTACGTTCATATCTATGTCGTTTATGTATACGTGCACACTCAAGGAAACATCGTCATTTATCTAAAGAATATGTACAAAAGATTCATTTTTGTTTATTAATAAATATGTATTTAATTGAATTAATGTTTATATACGTGAAATGAACAATGCAATTCATTAATAATATGTGGAATATTAAAACACACACTAGGAGACAAGACGGCATTGTTTTCGTGAGTGACGATGGTTCTATATAAGAAACTGAAGAAAATAAGACCCTGGTTGAAAAGAATGTTAATGGATTAGTTAGACATGAATGCCCACTTGTGAAGCCATGTTGGGAATCATTGATCAACTTGTGCTTCTCCAGGTGATTTTGAATAGAGTTTGAAATGATTGCTTCCAGTAATTTGCCTACAATTGATGTTAGACTGAATGGACGGTAGTTAGAGGAGAGTGATCTATCTCCCTTCTTGAAAATCGGTATTACATTCACTATCCTTCAGGATTCTGGTACTACAGCTGTTTTTAATGACATGTTAAACAACTTTGCTAAGGGCATACTAAGCTCTTCCTTACATTCCTTTAATACTCTGGCAAATATGTCATCGGGACCAGGTGACTTATTAGGCTTTAATTTGTCTATTTGCTTACTAACGTTGTTACTAGTCACTACTATCTCGCTTAATTTATTTTCTTCACTATCTCTGTATATAGTCGGTGCCTCAGGTATCATGTCTAAATTTTCGGTGGTGAAAACTGTTGAAGAATATTTATTCAGATTATTGCTCATTTCTCCGTCGTTATCAGTTAGCTCGCCGGTATCTGACGGTATTGGTCCAGTATTTTCTCGTGTTTTAGTTTGATACATTTGATAGAATCCCTTGGGGCTTGACTTTGCCTCCCTTGCTACCTTCAGTTCATTATTCTTCTTTACTTTTCTTAACTCGGACTTAACCCTACCGGCCAATACCTTATAATAATCTCGGAGGTAAACTTCACCACGATTTATTCTCCTACCTATAGCCTTCCTTGTCTAATAATATTCATTGTTGTTTGATCTGAGTTTTCTGTATGGTATGTTCTGCCTTTGTGCCTTAAGTAACTCATTATTTAAATTGTTGTGGAACTCGTCAACCTCAGACCTCGTTATCAGGTCATCCTCAACCGTCAGGTCTCCAGGTAAGGTGAGGTCGCCCTCTGTGGGTACATTGTGTGAGGTCATGTAATTCACCCCCAAGCGTGATACCCCTTCTCTCAGCTGCTTCTTCAAACTATCAAAGTTTGCCCTTCTGAAATCTGTGACTTTAATGGAATTTTCATTGCGGCAGCCCTGAAATTCTAATTGGAATCTCACTTCATTGTGATCACTGTTAGTTAGTTCGTTCCCTACCTCAACATTACTAATGAGGTTTTCTCTGTTTGACAGAACTAAATCGAGTATATTATTACCCCGGGCGGGTTCAGCTATATGTTGGCTTAGGAAACAGTCCTGAACAGTTTCAAGAAAATACTCTGATTCTGAGTTACCCGTAAGGTCGGTCCAATTTATTTGACGAAAGTTAAAGTCACCTACTATACAGACTTTGCTATGTCTTGATGCCCTGCGCATTTCATCCCAAATATGTCGCTCATTAACTCTACCAAGATTAAGAGGTCTATATATTACGCCTGTGATTAATTTTTCCCTACCATCGGTTAATTCTATTCAAATTGTTTCTCTATTACGCTCAGTTTTTATTTCCTTATTTATTTCACACTTCATATTATCCCTGACATAGATTGCTACTCCGCCTCCTTTCCTAATCTGCCTATCAGTATGGAATAATTTGTAACCTGCAATTTGGTATTCGACAGGTAACTCACGTCAGTCTAAGTTTATCCATGTTTTGGTGAATGCTATTATATCGATTTTTTCAGTACATACCAACGCCCTGATTTCATCCATTTTGTTTCTCATGCTTCTACTGTTTGGGTAGTAGCCATTTAAGTTAGTCGTGTTCTGAGTCCTCCCATTACCGCGTTTAGTTTTAGACTCCCTGTCTAATTTAGTTTTGTCATCATTCCTAACACTATTTCCCTGTAACCTTTCACTTTGTTTACCCGCTCCCACTGCAGTTTCCTCCACCCCTGTGCTCACATGTTCCCCTTGCAGTTTAAAGACTTTGACACATTTTGAACTTCCCTCTCGAGAGCCAGCCAGGGTTGCCACCCCATCCCTAGCATAAAGGTCCCTTCTGCCGTAAAAGTTGTCCCAGTTGTCAATGAATGGGACTGATATTGACGTGCAATATCTGTCAAGACACCACCACCACACACGACCCTCACACACCATCACACACCACCACCACCACACACCACCACCACACACCACCACACACCACCACCACCACACACCACCACCACACACCACCACCACACACCACCACCACACACCACCATCACACACCAACATCACAGAACTAACCATAAGAAAAAAATACAAAAATATTAAATAAAATAAATAAAATCTCATATAGCGATAACAGAAATGCACTCAACTATCTGAAAAATAAAGCAAATTTATTAAAAACAAGAAAATTTGATAAAATAACAAAATATGGCCACTAGACTAAAACAAAATGTGGCCACTAGACTAAAACAAAATGTGGCCACTAGACTAAAACAAAATGTGGCCACTAGACTAAAACAAAATGTGGCCACTAGACTAAAACAAAACATGGCCACCAGACTACAACAAAACATGGCCACTCACCAACTCGTAGGTCTGTATGGCCAGCTGCACCTTATCATCGCTGTACTCTTTGGCCCGGTTGAACATCTTCTGTATTTTGCTCATCTGCTCCGATCTCTTCTCCGGACTCAGCCCTTTCACCGTACTCAGGTAATCGTCGGAAATCTAGAGTACGCCATCGTCATGTTAATTATTGTCTCTCTATCATGTTATAAATGTTAACTGTTTCTCTCTAACATGTTATAAATGTTAACTGTTTCTCTCAAACATGTTACTAGAAGGAGTTCACCAGATCGGTTTAATTGACTAAGTGACTGGCAACTGATTTTACTGATACTGTATTTTTTGTTAGTTTCAGGTGGTGTTGCCGTGTGGGACCCATCGTATGGAAGCAGCATCAAGTGGTTTATTGAATCCAAATCCCTCGACCAAACCCAGCACAACTTCCACCCGCACCTGTACACAATGGACTGCAGCTATTGTCACTCAAGCTAACCAATTAATCATAAACTTTGATAGTTGTTTATACAGAATACTAGCTATGTATCTTAATTAGAATAAAAATATTCAAGAATCAAATGGTTCAGGTATCTCATCATCTTGACCTAAAACTGTTTCTCCAACACACCAATACCTTCCATTCACAGGATTAAATAATGATTATACCAACACAAACAGTTACAGTTACAGATGGAATTCCCTGGGCACATGACAGCATCTGGCATGACAGTAGCACAGTACTTGAGGACCATAAGGTAACAGGGATTGGAATATCAAAATATTTTCTCAGACTTTTTTCTCTACTGTACTGTATTAAGACGTGTCGGGTTTGTTTCCTCTCATTTTCTGGTTCTGACATAATAGTTTGTGGTGAAAAGCAGCATTATTAGATACCTATCTTATATGTGAGCTACAAGTAGATAATGCCAGATATTGCCCACAACCGATCATCAAAAATATACTATACCCCAAAAAATATATTCTTCCATACTAAAGTTGAGAGGTAAATACACCTTCTTCACCATTATTAAGTTAATCAACAGACATATCAAGAATGAACGCAATTATAGACAATTAGAGGTACAGTGAAACCTCTGTCAACAGATTATATGGAGATAAAAGTCCATTATGTCGAGGGTCCGTTAGATGTGAAACCCCCATATGGAAATAGAAGTCCGTTACATGGAGGTTTGACTGTAGTATAAGACGCACCTGGTCAATGTTACGCATGACATCCTGTGAGCGTTGGTCCAGGTCTCTCATTAAGTGGAAGTTTCGCTGCAGTTCTGTTGGAAGATTTTCTAAGCCTGAAAGATGAGAGAGAGAGAGAGAGTGTGATCAGTTGTATAGTAGTGTTAACCACCACAGTACAGGGGGGCCTCACTATATGTTGTACGTACAGGTATATGTCATTTCACATATGCTTCACATACCATTTACATAACCTCCACCATCCACTGTTTCATACGGTGTGTGTGTGTGTGTGTGTGTGTGTGTGTGTGTGTGTGTGTGTGTGTGTGTGTGTGTGTGTGTGTGTGTGTAATAATAATAATAATAATTTTATTAACGGTTTATTGAAAGAGCATGGCAGCCGGAAAGCTGAAAATATACGGTTATATATTGGGGAATGGGTCTCTTGATTTACAAATAATATACAAGTAACATAAATGATACAAATATGATATATAATAACTAGGTGGGGAGAAGGTCAAACTACAGGGCATTTCAACATAGTGACGGTGCAAAAAGTAAGATTGACCAGGAGTTAATACACTCGTTGATTACAAGTTGTTGATAATTTTTACAATGGTTGGGACTGTGTGTGTACCTGAATATGACTTAAATAATGTTAAACGCACATAATACAATGTAAAAATAACCATAATAAGTAATAAAAGTGATCAACATGTATTGGGTTTCTACCACACCAAGATACATCAGTCACCTAACACAACTTTGCTCTAATGCCATTGTTATGTGTAAACAGAGCATATGTGGAAAAGTCATTAAAATGTGCGAGTGAGCCTTATGACAAGAGAAAATACTGTACAGTAATCCCGTGTTTTTCGCATTTTTTTTACTCAAAACTTATATACCGTGTACTACATATAAAATATCCTTTAAAAACAAAAAATTTTATTTCGCGCCATTTTCGATATTCTCGTGTGCGGTGCGGCAAACAGAAAGCCACCCTTTCCCGCCTCAGACACCCGCTGCTCCGAGAAGCCTCAGTCCACACTACCGTACTGTGAACGCTACCGTGATTACCTCTTATGTTGTCCTCCCACGTGCAGTCCAAGAGATCAAGAATAGTGATGACCTTAACGGAAAAAAACAGTTTCATTGGACAAGCTCAGAGGTGGTATGAGCTATGGCTCGAGATATGGTGAAGACTGACAATTCATTTGTGTCTTTTGTCAGAATACAAGTCTTCAAGTGGAGGAATGTGGGTGGAAGAGGACTGGCTGGCTGGCGTGACTGCGTGAGGGCAGGCAGACGACGGGACAGCAGGGAGAGGCTGGCAATGTGGGTGTTGCCGACCTCAGCGAAATATAAAAAAATTTATTTCCTGGTAAATAAACAATTTTTGTATAAAACTGTGTTTACGTTTTACCATTATTATACTACAATATGATTAGTTTTAAATAATGATTTTAGTAAATGCCGGTACAGTGCATCAGCGATCAGTAACCACTGGACTGTGAGTGGCGAGCATGGCGTGGTTAAGTGCATGACCTACCTGGGCTGTTTTTTTTTTACGGGAATTAGCTCACCCGGGCACAGGTCAAACGACCCACAACGGGGCCTGGGGGGTGAAAAAAAAGAACGGAAAGAAATTGTAAATATAGAAAAAAAGGTTATACTGTATTAATCTACACCACGAAGATGCTGGAAAACCATCTTTTTAAAGTGAGACAGATTGTAAGAGCATGGAAACACAGAAGAAGGCAGAGCATTCCACAGTTTGGTGGCCACAGGCTTTTCGCGGGGGTTTCAGGAACGTAATTCCCGCAAAAAACACAGGATTACTGTACAGTAATATAAGATATAAATAAGTCTTGGGGTATATTGTGTGTGGGAGAATATTGGGTCTAAAAATCACCTTAACACACAGGCACTTTACAAGCCCTGGACATATCAATTCAATGCTGTAATGTGACTTGGAAATTAAAAAATAACTACAGTATAAAATAAGAATAATTAATAGCAAGTGAACAGTGTACTACCGCCTGGGAAGATATTGGAAACATAATGTGTTGTCTAATGGTAGACCCTGCTGCCATATGGCATCACAAAAATTATGACCAAGTCCCAGGTTGCTGGTCTGACTTTCTGCCTCACTTACACACAATTGCAGGGTCTCAATTGTTTCTCTTACTATTGACGACACAACATACATACAGTTTATTGTTTCTCACTCATGATCTTTTTTTTCATTTTTGTATTTCTTTATTATTATTATTATTATTAGTATTATTATTATTATTATTATTAGTGTTGCTATTATTATTATTATTATCATTATTTTATTTTCATTTTTTATTTCTGATTATAAAATATATTTACGATGAATTATTATTATTATTATTATTATTACTATTATTACATTTTCGCCCCCCAGGCCCTGATGTGGGTCAGTGACCTGTGCCCGAGTGGACTAATCCCCGGAGGGAAAAAACTGTTTACACGTCAGTATCAAATTTCACCTTTATTCCCTAAGTCTTTAGGTCCATTTGGTGCTGAGTTACTAAAACATTATGGTAACATTATCAATGTTTTCAAAAAACTCCCACATCAACCCCAGATAAGTTACTGTACTGTATTAACCACTTGTGTACAGGTCTGCCAACTATGTATAATACAACTGGCATGAAGGAAGGGGTTACATCTGGGCCTTTGTTACAACGTACTAACAGCTGATCAGCCTCTCCACCACAGAATTAGTCTCCAGTAGTAACCTCCCTGTTGGCCAAAATCTTTGATCCCCAGAACTCTCCAGTAGCTGGAATGAATTTTTGAACCTTCTGAGAAATTGCAGGAATAATCTCTCCATTCCAGAATGGGAAAGAATTTCCAAGGATGGAATCGTGTGCATTTCCAGAAAATTGCTAAAAAATTCCTACGCTCTGAACACGAAAAATTTTCCGGGAGTTCCGAGAGATTGCATCAAGCTGCGACGCGTTATAACGTGTCGGGCACCCGGGTGGGCTAGCTGCTTTGGTAATTCAGGCCATAGGCTCGTGTGCTCGGTTCATATTCAGCTGCCATCGTACAAGGTTGTTCCCTCACTCGCTGCATTTTTGGCATACAATTTGTGTTGTACAGTACAGTACTGTACACTCGCTAAAAAACTGCCATACAGGTGGGGTACAATGATTTATTGCATCAATGATAAAAAGCAGCATAGATTGTAAGGGGGAATTTGATTTGTTATTATTCATCTTTACATTCTATCTCATTAATACTGCCAGTCCTCGACTTACGAAGGGGATAGGGACCAACGACCAGGTCGTATGTCGAATTGGTCACAAGTCGAAAATGAGAAAATAATACATAGAAAATCTAAAATGGGTGTCTCCTTTTCTTCTGAGCACCACGAGAACTCTCATTTTTACGCTTGCCAGCCATTTTAAAGGTAATTACATACGAAAATTTTGTCAGTACACAGCGCGATTACTAAAGTCGGGACTCGGAAATACGTAATTTGAAAAATATTATATACGACTGTGGCGGTCGTGGTGGTCGTAAGTAGAGGAGTACCTGTATATTAATGTATATATGTGGAAGATGTGATCTTTTTTCTTTTATATGTAATTTTATATTTTAAATTTAGTTCACAATTAAGATCACTTTACCCGGTGACCTGACAATGATAACCTCACAAAATATGACGGTTGAGGATGACCTGATCACGAGATCTGAGGTTGACGAGTTCCACAATTTAAATAATGAGTTACTTAATGCACAAAGGCAGAACATACCATACAGAAAACTCAGATCAAACAACAATGACCCTAAATGGATAAATAATTATTTAAAGAATATTATTGGCCAAAGGAAGGCTATAGGTAGGAGAATAAATCGTGGTGAAGTTTACCTCCGAGATTATTATAAGGTATTGGCCAGTGGGGTTAAGACCGAGATAAGAAAAGCAAAGAGGAATAATGAATTAGAGGTAGCAAGGTAGACAAAGTCAAACCCCAAGGATTCTATCAAATGTATCAAACTAAAACACGAGACAAGACTGGACCAATACAGTCAGATACCGGCGAGTTAACTGATAACGACGGAGAAATGAGCAATAATCTGAATAAATATTCCTCAACAGATTTCACCACCGAAAATTTAAACATGATACCCGAGGCACCGACTATATTCAGAGATAGTGAAGAGAGTAGATTAAGCGAGATAGTAGTGACTAGTAACAACGTTAGTAAGCAAAGAGACAAACTAAAGCCTAATAAGTCACCTGGTCCCCATGAGATATTTGCCAGAGTATTAAAGGAATGTAAGGAAGAGCTTGGTATGCCCTTAGCAAAGTTGTTTAACATGTCATTAAAACGGCTGTAGTACCAGAATCCTGGAGGATAGTGAATGTGATACCGATTTTCAAGAAGGGAGATAGATCACTATCCTCTAACTACCGTCCAATCAGTTTAAAATCAATTGTAGGCAAATTGGTGGAAGCAATCATTTCAAACCCTATTCAAAATCACCTGGAGAAGCACAAGTTGATCAATGATTCCCAACATGGCTTCACAAGCGGGCGTTCATGTCTAACTAAGCTATTAACATTCTTTTCATCAGTTTTTCGAATCGGTAGACGAGGGGCACAATTTCTATTCACATACTCATAAAACTCGTCCTTCACACTGACTCAACCCTCGGTGTTCACTCATTCACTCGCTTTGTATTTCAGTGAACCAAAAGTGACATAAAACATCTCACTCATTCCTGAACCTCTAGTCAGCTACTGTTTGAAGTGTGCAAGGTGGCCGAGTTAGTAATGTGTGGGCCCAGTTGGAGGTACACCCCAACACAACCCGAACACTCCACTAATACAACCTAACACAAACCTAACACAACCTAACACAACCCTAACACAACCTAACACAACCTAACACAACCCTAACACAAATATAACACTACCCTAATACTGTATTACCCAAAACTTCAACTTCACCCAAATTATAATATATTACTAAGGTTAGGTTAGGGTAGTTTGGTTCATTTAATAAACAATAAAGTATATAATGTGATGGTCTATAATATTCTGTATTCTCCGTGAAATACAAGATTACAACTTAACCTGATATTTATATGACTGCAATATATCCTAATCTAACAACAATGTTTACATGAATGCAATATATCCTAACCTAACCTAACTTAATGTTTACATGAATGCAATATTCTAACCTCTTTGTTTATATGAATGCAATATATCTATCCTAATTAATGTTTATTGAATGCAATATATCCTAACCTAACCTAACTTAATGTTTATATGAATGCAATATATCTAACCCAACTAACTTAATGTTTATATGAATGCAATATATCCTAACCTAACTAACATGTTTACATGAGTGCAATATATCCTAAACTTAATGTTTACGGATGCAATATAACATAACCTAACCTTATGGTGGTTGGTAAGTGGTATTATTGTTTCAGTCATCCCTAATTTTAGGGTTTTAAGTTACCACGCCGGGGTTTAGGTTGGGTTAGGTTAGTTTGGTATTAAATATGTTTCTCGTTGTTTTTGATATGTTTTGAACTACTTCCAAATAGTGGATGACTGATAATTTTGGTTAGTGTTGGGTTGATGTTGGGTTGAAGTTAGTGTTATGTAGTGTTGTGTTAGGTTAGAGTTAGGTTAGTGTTGGTTAGGTTAGTGTAGAGTTAGTGTTGTGTTAAAATTGAGTGGAATTAGTGTTGTGTTGGTTAGGTTAGTGTTATGTTAGTGTTGTGTTAGGTTAGGTTATATTGATGGTATGTTGGTGTTGTGTTAGTGTTATGAGTGTTGTGTTGTGTTAGGTTAGTCAGACAGAAGGCGTCTTTGCTATCATTACATAGTCTGGCTGCCCTTCCAATCGCATTTATTGCTGTATAAGAATCAGTACAGACATTTCTTTGGTCAAATCTTTACTTAATGTCATGGTTGTAATAACATGTTCACCTATAATAACTTATTCCAGGGTTGTATATAACCCACAACCTAATGATCACAATAAAATAGTTAATATTAACGGAAGTGGATATTTTGCTGACTGGTAAGTTCCTCCTAACCTTTTTACAAGAGTGCACTCTGATTGGCTGATCATCCATTACCAGTGAACATGAGAACTATACTTGACAGTGACTGGCGACATTTGGTATTTATTTAGCCATGAGTCGATCATTGTGGAGCTGTAAATATACCTCTTATATCTGTTGTGCATGGAACCTTATCATTATAAAGAGGGCCTCTCAAATCTGTCTCTCAGAGTTTCGTGGGGCATCCTCCCTCAGGTTGACTAATAGCCTCCTTGCTGCCTTTCTCGCTGAGGAAGAAGCCGATGGTGTCTGCCTTGCTTGTCTGCTGCGATTCCAGGTTTGCTCTCTACGGGATCATTTGGATCAGGGTAAAACAAGGCCTCATCCTCCGAATAGAGTTAACATCCACTACTTCAGGGCAGGCCGCCATGCATTCCTATGGATACCCAGTCATGTAGGTATCTTGGGAATGGGCAGCAGATAAGCCTTGCCAAGACTAGCTGCAACAAGGCTACCTGATCGTTGTTCTCGAACACACAGCAGGACCCAAATTCGCGCAAACAGAAAGCTAGGGGAAGCAGCCATCCCCTGGACTCCCGCCCACCTGGTATGATGTCCTCCGTAAACTTCTGACCTCTCGTGTCTATGGGAAAGGGTGGCGGAAGGGACGTGATTGCTGCCCGTATCATCATTGGGTATGACTTTGGCGAGGAGTTGGTTATCGCATCCCGAACAGCGCTCTTGTGCATTATACAGAAGACCCGACAGCAGCACCTTATCCACTACCTCCTAAGATGTCCCCACACACGCCTTCGTGGCGCCTGCTGGACCACCACTCCGACCCCTGGCGAACCATGATGATCCTCCCCATACTGGCCAGATATTATGTAAATAACATTGATTATGTGTTAAGGAATATCCTTCCTTCCTTAGGCTTTAGTAAGCCCTTTATAATATTTATACTGTATATACTTGTCACACTTGCCAGATGCTTCTGGTGTTGTTAACAGGAGTACCTAGTGACAGCACTAGGATCCACTTCCTCTATCAAGGAATAAACAATTGAAATTGAATAAAAGAGGCGATATTTACTAGAACCTAATAGAACCAAACAAACCTACCTAACCTTACCTAACTTCCTAGCTGGGGGCGAACCACCCGTCATAGTAAATTGTAGCCAATCAGAGCGCACTCACGGTAAAATAGCGTTAGTAGGAACTTAGCTAGTCACGGTAAAATATCCACTACATAGTTAACCAATCATCTTGAAATAGATTTAACTGAAGGAAATACTTAAAAGGAGGAAGAAATATTCCCGCTAAAACCAGACCATTAGTTAACTCCCTCCCGGTAAGTCTTTCATTAATGTCTACTGTAACCAGACAGCCGTGGGGTAATGATAGATGGAAGGACAGGGAGGAGAACAAGACTCTCACTCTCAAGGTACTGCTCTAGGTGAGCCCGTCGCCATCTTGAGTCGTAGCTCCGAGGAGTTGTTGTGTTGTGGTTGATGACGTCACGTTAGCGTCCTGTTGCCATGGTTACCAACACCTCCCTCAGCGTCCCTCACTAACAAAGGCACTTTACTCATATATCTCTGTCATTACTTTAATTACGTTATTTGAAATATAATCATAAAACTCTAGGGTTCTATTAGGGTCATAAAAACACTTGTTGAAGATGTAGAGTTGTGGTAACAAGTAAAGGACGCTGCCTTAACACAACGCCGCGTCCCCGCTCTACACAAACCTACCTTCACTTGTATTGTAATTCAGGTCTTAAACTACAATAAATGATCAACTTATGAACTCACTTTCCATCACTGACAATGCTTCAGTCTTATCACTCCCTCGATAGATATTAAAAAAACTTAATACGGTGTTTACATAGAAGAATTACAAGCACAGGATAGAGTCACATCCGCCACCGGGGACAAATGAGGAGTACTGGACTACCAACCAACCAAACGTTCCCGGCCCCTCTCGCATGTGTCCCCCCACCTGCCTGGCCCACAGCGGCTCCCGTGTCTCCCCACCTACCTGGCCCACAGCTGCACGTGTCCCCCCACCTGTCTGGCCTGCTGGCCCACACCTGTGTCCCCCACCTCTTGGCCCTGACTGTGTCCCCCACCTACTTGGCCCCAACTGTGTCCCCACTTGGCCCCAACTGTGTCCCCCACCTGCTTGGCTCCAACTGCTCCCCCACCTACTTGGCTGGCTGTCCCCCACCTGGCCACTGCTGTCCCCCTACTTGGCCCCTGACATGTCCCCTGCTTGGCCACAACTGTCCCCCACCCTCGCTGGCCCCTAACTGTGTCCCCCACTTACTTAACTGTCCCCCACCTTGGCCCACCTGTGTGTCCCCCTCGCCCTACTGTGTCCCCTCTTGGCCCACATGTCCCCTGTGGCCCCAACTGTCCCCCCCCTACTTGGCCCAATATGTGTCCCCCACCTGCCAGCTGGCTGTCCCCCCACCTGCATGGGCTGTACGTGTTCCCCCACCTGCCTGGCCTGCTGGCCAGCCTGTGTCCTCCCCACCTGCTGGCCCGCAGCTGCTGCGGTTCCTCATCTGCCTGGCCTGCTGGCCAACACCTGTGTCCTCCACCTACCTGGCCCGGCTGTACGGTTCTCATCTGCCTGGCCTGCTGGCCACGCCTGTGTCCTCCACCTGGCCCGCGGCTGTATGGGTTCCCCTCATCTGCCTGGCCTGCTCCGCCGCCTGTGTCCTCCACCTACCCGCAGCTATGCGGTTCCTCATCTGCCTGGCTGCTGGCCAGCCTGTGTCCTCCTACTGCCAGCTGTACGGTTCCCCCATCTGCCTGGCCTGCTGGCCAACGCCTGTGTCCACCTACCTGGCCCGCAGCTGTACGGTTCCCCTCATCTGCCGCCTGCTGGCCAAGCGCCTGTGTCCTCCACCTACCTGGCCCTGCACACGGTTCCCTCATCTGCCTGGCCTGCCTTGCCTGTGTCCTCCACCTGGCCCCAGCTGTACTTCCCCTCATCTGGCCTGCTGGCGCACGCCTCCCCCACCGCCACTGGGTTCTCCTGCTTGCCCTGCTCCAACGCTGTGTCCTCCACCTGCAGCTGCGGTTCCCTCATCTGCCTGGCCTGCTGGCCAACGCCTGTGTCCTCCACCTACCTGGCCGCAGCTGTACGGTTCCCTCATCTGCCTGGCCTGCTGGCCAACGCCTGTGTCCTCCTACTGCCCGGCAGCTGCTGGTTCCCCTCATCTGCCTGCTGCTGGCCAGCCTGTGTCCTCCACCTACCTGGCAGGTGCAGTTCCCTCATCTGCTGTGCTGTGCTGCTGTGTCCCTCCCTACCTGGCCCGGCTGCTGGTTCCCTATGCCTGGCCTGCTGGCCAACGCCTGTGTCCTCCACCTACCTGTGCAGCTGTACGGTTCCCCTCATCTGCCTGGCCTGCTGGCCACAAGTGTGTCCCTCACCTACCTTGCCCCAGCTTGTACGGTTCCCCTCATCTGCCTGGCCTGCTGGCCAACGCCTGTGTCCTCCACCTACCTGGCCCGCAGCTACATGTTCCCCATCTGCCTGGCCTGCTGGCCAACAACTGTGTCCCCACCTACCTGGCCCGCAGCTGCATGGTCTCATCTGCGCTGGCCTGCTGGCCAATGCCTGTGTCCTCCACCTACCTGGCCCGCAGCTGTACGGTTCCCATCTGCCTGGCCTGCTGGCCAACAACTGTGTCCTCACTTACCTGGCCCGCAGCTGTGTGTTCCCCACCTGCCTGGCCTGCTGGCCAACGCCTGTGTCCCACTCCACCTGGCCCGCAGCTGTACGGTTCCCCTCATCTGCCTGGCCTTGCCCAACAAGTGTGTCCCTCACCTACCTGGCCGTGAGCTGTACGGTTCCCCCATCTGCCTGGCCTGCTGGCCAACGCCTGTGTCCTCCACCTACCTGGCCCAGCTACACGTTCCCCTCATCTGCCTGGCCTGCTGGCCAACAACTGTGTCCTCACTACCTGCCGAGCTGTACGGTTCCCCATCTGCCTGGCCTGCTGGCCAACGCCTGTGTCCTCCACCTACCTGGCCCGGGCAGCTGTACGGTTCCCTCATCTGCCTGGCCTGCTGGCCAACAAGTGTGCCCTCACCTACCTGGCCCGCAGCCACGTTCCTCATCTGCCTGTGGCCTGCTGGCCAACGCCTGTGTCCTCCACCTACCTGGCCCGCAGCTGTACGGTTCCCCATCTGCCTGGCCTGCTGGCCACCTGTCCTCCACCTACCTGGCTCCAGCTGTACGGTTCCCCATCTGCCTGGCCTGCTGGCCAACGCCTGTGTCCTCCACCTACCTGGCCTGCAGAGCTGCACGGTCCCCATCTGCCTGGCCTGCTGGCCAACGCCTGTGTCCTCCACCTACCTGGCCCGCAGCTGTACGGTGGTTCCCCTCATCTGCCTGGCCTGCTGGCCAACGCCTGTGTCCTCCACCTGGCCCGCGCAGCTGTACGGTTCCCCTCATCTGCCTGGCCTGCTGGCTACGCCTGTGTCCTCCACCTACCTGGCCCGCAGCTGTATGGTTCCCCTCATCTGCCTGGCCTGCTGGCACAACGCCTGTGTCCTCCACCTACCTGGCCCGCAGCTGTACGGTTCCTCATCTGCCTGGCCTGCTGGCCAACGCCTGTGTCCCACCTACCTGGCCTGCAGCTGTACGGTTTCCCCATCTGCCTGGCCTGCTGGCCAACGCCTGTGTCCTCCACCTACCTGGCCCGCAGCTGTACGGTCCCCCCATCTGCCTGGCCTGCTGGCCAACGCCTGTGTCCTCCACCTACCTGGCCCTGGCAGCCAACGGTTCCTCATCTGCCTGGCCTGCTGGCCAACGCCTGTGTCCTCCACCTACCTGGCCCGCAGCTGTACGGTTCCTCATCTGCCTGGCCTGCTGGCCAACGCCTGTGTCCTCCACCTACCTGGCCTGCAGCTGTACGGTCTCATCTGCCTGGCCTGCTGTGGCCCACAACTGTGTCCCCCATCTATACTACAATACAGTACAATATACTGTATGAGTGCAGTATACTATGCCATTATAATAATAATATTAATTATTATTATTATTAGTAATAGTAGTCGTAGTACTACTACTACTACTAATAATAATTAAGTTAAGTTGTCATACAGGTTTACAATTGAATAAACAAGTTTATAAACTATACAGGTACATTATACAGTTCAGCATGAATATTGACAATGTAGGTATACGGTGCACGTGGACCGTGGGAGTATAATGTGCGCCGAGACAGTGTAGGTAAATCGTCAAGTGTACCTGTGACTAGTGGAGTACCACAGGGTAGTGTATTAGGCCCATTGTTGTTTGTTTGCTTCATAAATGACATAAGAACATAAGAACATAAGAAAATAAGGAGTCTGCAATAAGCCGGTTGGCCTGTGCATGGCACAGTTCTGGTGCCCTTATTATAGAATGGATATCAATTCACTAGAGTCGGTGCAGTGAAGAATGACGAAAATGATTCCGGGACTTAGAAACCTTCCATATCAGGATAGGTTAAAGAAACTAAACTTGCATTCCCTAGAAAGACGAAGAGTGGGGAGATATGATAGAAGTATTCAAGTGGGTGAAAGGAATCAATAAGGATATAGATAAAGTTCTTATAATATCCGGCAGGATGGGACTCGAACAACGGATTTAAGTTGATAAGTTTAGGTTTAGGAGGAGATAGGAAGGAACTGGCACAAATCGGGTGGTGGACGAGGAAAAGCTTAGCAACTTTGTAGTAAGTGCTGAACGCTGGAAAGTTTCAAAAGGAGGCTAGATAGACTCATGGTTGATAGAGAGTGGTAGTAACTCTCGACAGGAGCTGCCATGCACAGGCCAACCGGCCTATTGCAGACTCCTTATTTTCTTATGTTCTTATGAGAGTTACTACCACTCTCTATCATCCATTAATTTATCCAGCCTCCTTTTGAAACTTTCCAGCGTTCCAGCACTTACTACAAAGTTGCTAAGCTTGTTCCAGTCGTCCACCACCCTATTTGTGAACCAGTTTCTTCCTATCTCCCTCCTAAACCTAAACTTATCCAACTTAAATCTGTGAAGAGCTGCAGAAGGACCTCTGTGGGCTCCAGGAATGGTCGAAGGAATGGCTGCTGAGATTCAATGTCACGAAGTGTAAGAGGATGCACTTGGGGCGTACCAACGGTAAGGAGGCGTACCATATGTCCCAACGGGATGAAGAAAATGTACTAGTTGAGACTGTGTGAGAAGGACCTAGGTGTGTATGTTGACAATGAGCTGAAGTTCTCGGGCCATTGTGAGAAGAAGGTAAATCAGGCAAATAAATTATTGGGTCTTATAAGAAGGTCGTTCAGATATCTAGACGGTCCGTCCCTCGTGACGATCTTCAGGAGTGAAGTGCTTCCCCATCTGGAGTACTGTCACCCCATCTGGTCCCCGAGATATGCTAGGGACTGTCAGTTGGTTGAAAATGTTCAAAGGAGGGCCACCAAACTGGTGCCTGCACTTCGGCACCTCAGCTACCCTGAGAGATTGGAGCGCCTGAACTTGCCTAGCTTATACTACAGACGGGCAAGGGGGGACCTAGTTGAGGTTTATAAGCATCTCAGGGGGCACTACTCAGTTGAGTGTCCTTACTTGGAGCTGGCGGACGCTCGCCCCACAAGGGGTCACAGCTCAAGATTGAAGAAGCCGCAAGTCCGGAAAACCGTGAGGGCAAACTTTTTCGGAGTGAGGGTTGTAAACTCTTGGAACAATCTACCAGAAAGTGTTGTGACGGCACCGAGTGTGAGCTCTTTCAAGAGAAGACTTGACCAACACTGGAGCGGGTTCAGGTACATTCAGGAGCCGGTGCATGCCCAGTATTTGCCAACAGTGCGTGACAGAGACGTGACCGATCGCCCGGGCGGCTAGCGAGCCGACTTTGGCGAAGAATATAAAGGAAAAGAGACGTGACCGATCGCCCAAGCGGCTAACAAGCCGATCAGTGGCGAAGAGGATAAAAGTAAAAAGTAAAATAAATCCGTTGTTCCGAGTCCTATCCTGCTCGGATATTATAAGAACTTTATCTATATCCCCTTTATTGATTCCTTTCACCCACTTGAATACTTCTATCATATCTCCCCGCACTCTTCGTCTTTCTAGGGAATGCAAGTTTAGTTTCTTTAACCTATCCTGTTATGGAAGGTTTCTAAGTCCCGGAATCATTTTCGTCATTCTTCGCTGCACCGACTCTAGTGAATTGATATCCATCCTATAATAAGGGCACCAGAACTGAGCCGCATAATCGAGGTGCGGCCTGACTAGCGAAAGATATAGTTGCAATAAGACCTCTGCACTCTTGTTACTTACATTTCTAGATATAAAACCCAATACTCTGTTTGCCTTATTTCGAACATTAACGCACTGTTTTCTAAGCCGTAGGTCCGGGCTTACAAGTACCCCTAGGTCTCTTTCGCAAGTCGACTTCTCTAGGTTGATGTTGTTAAGGCTGCATACATTGACAGTATTTGTTCTTCCAATATTAAGTACGCCGCACTTACTGGTGTTGAATTTCATTTGCCATTTTTCAGACCACCCCTGCAGTTTATTTAGATCCTCCTGTAATGCATTTGCATCCTGCCTTGAATTAATCTGCCGCCCTATTTTGGTGTCATCCGCAAACTTGCTTTTGTCACTGCTGATCCCAGTATCTAGATCGTTTATGTAGATTATGAACAAGAGTGGGCCTAGTACTGACCCCTGGGGAACCTCACTGGTTACACGGCCCCACTCATATTTAACACCAGCTACGCTGACCCTCTGCGTTCTATCGGTGAGCCATGATTTTATCCAATTTAAAACTTTCCCCTCGATACCATGAGCCTTAATTTTTCTCAGAAGCCTCTGATGTGGTACTCTGTCAAATGCTTTGCTAAAGTCTAAGTAAATAACATCGTAATTTTCGTCATTATCTACTACCTCGAAGACTTTCCTAAAAAACGTCAGCAGATTTGTTAGACAAGATTTTCCTTTCGTAAACCCATGTTGAGAGTCGTAGATTAATTTGCTTTTCTCTAAATGCGATAGGATGCTATCTGCTATAATTGATTCAATAAATTTCCCCACTACTGACGTCAAACTGATCGGCCGGTAATTTGACGCTGATGCTCTGTCTCCCTTTTTGAATATAGGTACTACATTTGCCTGTTTCCACAAGTCTGGCACAACTCCCGTGTCTAATGATTTTGTAAATAAATTTACGAGGGGTCCGCTAATCTGTTCCCTACACCCTTTCAAGACTCGAGGGAAGCTGTACACTCTTTCATACAAATGTTTGTGGACGATGCCAAGTTATTTCGGGAAATTAAGAACTAAGCAGACTGTGAAGAGCTGCCGAAGGATTTCGATGAGCTGCAAGAATGGTCGAGGAAATGGCTGCTAAAATACAATGTCATGAAGTGCAAAAGGATGCACCTGGATCGCACCAATAGTAAGGAAGCGTATCAAATGTCCCAACAAGACGAAGAGAGTGCATTAATCAAGACCAAATGTGAAAAGGATCTTGATGTGTATGTCGTCAATGAACTCAAGTTCTCGGGTCATTGTGAGAAGAAGGTGGTGAATCAGGCAATGAAATTAGTAGGTCTTATAAGAAGGTCGTTTAGATATCAGGATGGTGCTTCCCCGTCTGCGGTACTGTCACACAGTGTGGTCCCCGAGATATGCTAGAGATTGTCAGTTGATTGAAAATACCCAAAGGAGGGCCACCGGACTGGTGCCTGCTCTACGGAACCTTAGTTACCCAGAGAGATTGGAGCACCTGCAACTACCAAGTTCAGACTACAGACGGGCGAGGGGTGACCTAATTGAAGTGTATAAACATCTCAGGGGGCACTACTCGGTCAAATGTATACATACCTGGAGCTGGCGGACGCTCGCTCCACAAGGGGTCACAGCTCAATGTTAGCGAAGCCACAAGTCCAGAAAACTGTGAGCGAATTTTTTTTTTCGGAGTGAGAGCTGTTAACTCTTGGAACAATCTGCCATAGAGTGTTGTGACGGCACCGAGTGTGAGCTCATTCAAGACCAGACTTGACTATGACCAACAGTGGAGCAGGTTCAGATATATTCAAGAGCCAGTGCATGCCCAGTACTTGCCAACACTGCGTAACGAGCCGATCAGTGGCGAAGATGATAAAAGTAAAAGTAAAAGGTAAACAACAATGGTAAAGAGTAAGGCAACTTGACCAAGGATAACTGTCAGCTGTTTATTCCCAGGAGGTCCTACACTTAGGCTTACCCCTGGTCTCTAGTCAGTAATAGAATGTGTACAGGAGTATTAGTGATAAATTCAACAAGCATTACTCTGCACTTGGGATGGCGGATCACTTCAACAATACAACATTTTGTGGTTAATAATACAAAAACTCACTCTCTTCTCTTGCTGTAGCTTCAACTGCTGTGTATTGTTGAGTTTTAGATTTGAAATGTTTAATGCTATCACTGGCTTTCCTGTTCGTTATAGCTGTAGAGTACAGTACAGTAAATAATCAACTATCGCTTAAATCTCCGGGTGTTTGTTTGTTGATACAGTACTGTAGTTACTTATAGCTTAACCTCTCCGTCGTGTATAGATAGGTGGGGCATGATAACGCTGTGTACAACCTCACAAGCACTTGTTGTTCACTTGGAGCACCACAAGCACCCGCTATGAATGTTTGTCTCTTGTTAGGTTTATCCCAGGGGCGGATCCAGGGAGGGTATCCTGGGGGTCCGGACCCTCCTTTTCATCAGAAAATTACAATACTTTTTCTTTAATGCATTATTGTACTCAGGCATTTTTTGTATAGTAAAAAGTAAATACTATTGACCTCAGAATATCTCCTAATATCAAATGCACACGGCTTCAAAATGGCCTCAAAATGCCCATGATATTGGTCACATCTCAAAAAATTTTCAGGGGACTTACGGCACCCCCACACAACTTGAACCCCCTCTTGATATTCCTGGAACCGATCCTGCACATGTAGTGTAGTGTAGTGTAGTGGAAATGAATTGTTATATACACAATACATTTCGCTAATATCTATGTACATATTAAATCCCAGGACGACCATCGCCGTCCAGTGTTCTGTACTGTATTGATTTTACCGATACTTTGTTCTCTTCTATTATTCTATTTGTCTTTCTTTTCGTTGTTTCTTTCCTTATTGTATTATTCTCTTCAAACTCTTCCTTTACTTCCTACACTTGTAATCTGGTGGAGGTTTATAAGTTTAGTACAGTTATACTACTACTACTTCTACTACTACTACTTTGCTGTCACTCTGAATCGAGTATGACGATCATCCAGCTGTGATACAATGATATGAGTTATTAAGGATGTCACCTTCATTGGTGAGCTCTGAGGTGACTAAAGAGGCCGATGTGGGATCGGCAGTGCTACACATGTGGGGGGCTTCATCTAGTGCGGGAGGGGCGGCGGAAGTGTCTTTCCGGTGTTGGCGCTTGTCTGCCTCGATTTACAGTCGGGCTAACTCGAAAGTATTAACACCTTCTTGTGTGGTGATCTTCCAAGCGTTACGGTGTGGAGTAATCGTATCCCAGGTCAAGGGGTCGAGTTGGCAATTTTTCAGGTTTCTCTTGAGATTATCCTTATACCTTTTCAGTTACCCGCCGGCGTTACGTTTACTATTCGTTAGGTGACTGTAAAGTAGCTGCTTTGGCAGTCTACTGTCGTCCATGCGGGTAACATGGTCAGTCCAACGTAGTTGTTCATGGATAATGGTAGCCTCGATGCTCCTACACTTGGTGTCAGCAAGAATACTGGCATCTGTTCTCTTGTCTTCCCAGCGAACTCGGAGGATGAAACATAGACTATGTTGGTGAAAAATTTCGAGTGCCTTGAGGTACCTCCTGTATGTGACCTATGTCTCACTGCCATATAGCAGGGTGGGGAGGACCACTGCTCGGTACACACGGAACTTTGTAGATAATTTCAGCTCCTTATACAGCTGAAGACACAGGTACAGAGTCTGCCAAATGCTTGAGATGCACATTTGATCTGATGTTGATTCTCTTCATCGATGTCCGCAGTGGTGGACAGGTAGGAGCCGAGATACTAAAAGTGAGTAATATTAGAGAGGGTAGTACCGTTAAGCTGGATGGATGGTAGAGGTGTGGCTGAACCAGGGGCAGGCTGAAAGAGAATCTGAGTCTTACGTACATTCATTCACCTTAAGGCCGAAGTGTGTATACGCATATGCGTAGGTGTTCGGGATCTCTTGTAGGTCGCGTTCAGTGTGAGCGACAAGGGTGAGGTCGTTTGTACACTAAAGTTCAGTAATGGAAGCTGTCGACACCTTTGTTCCTGCCTGGAGCCATCTTAAGTTGAAAAGACCCTTCATCCTGTACTGGATTCCACCCCGCCAGATAAATTGGCACTGGCACGAGTAAGGAACGCAGCCAAGAAAATGGAAAAGAGAGTTGGTGCCAGTACACATCCTTGTTTTACCCCCGTGTGGATGGAGAAGACCTCAGACTGGGTGCCATTTGCAGGACATTGCCGTTCATGCCATCGTGGAGTTGCCTCACAATGGTGATGAATTTTAGTGGTGCAGCCAAAACGGCTGAGGGTCCACCAGAGGGCTTTCCTGTTGACCGAGTCGAAGGCCTTGGTTAGGTCGGTGAAGGCCATGCACAGGTCACGACGCTGTTCTCTGCACTTCTCCTGTAACTGACGGGCAGCAAAGATCATGTCAGTGGTGCCACGTGATTTCCTAAAGTCACATTGAGATTCTGGGAAATTATTTTCCGCCTCAGGAAGAAGTCTGTTGAGGAGGTCTCGGACGATAATCTTGCCAGCTACGGACAGCAGCGAGATCCCGCAGTACTTGCCACAGTCTAACCGGTCTCCCATGTTCTTATAAATATTGACGATGGAGGCGTCTTTAAGAGCTTGGGGATTAACTCCTTTTCCCATATATTCTCCAGGAGAGAGAGGAGACGGCTGGTAAGCAGTGGTCCTTCTTCTTTATACACCTCAGGTGGGATTCCATTAGGCCTTGAGGCTAATGGAAGCTCTGTAAGCTTAGGGACCTGCTGGGTAGTCAGGACATCCACATAGGTGTTCCAGTTGAGCAACGAATAGTAGTGCTCTTTCCAGCGCTGAAGGAGGCCTTCTTCGTTCTTTAATTAGGGAGTTACCATCAGATGAGCAAAGGGGGTCTGCGCCATGAGTGATTGGCCCATAAAATATTTTAGTGAAATTGAAAAATTCGCACATCTTGTGTTGGTCTGCAAGTTTTTGTGTTTCACATGCTTTATTTTTAAACCTGTCGTTCTTTTGGGAAGCGAAGTTCCCGCTGGGCCGCCGCTTTCTTCTTGCAGAAGGTATCAACTTTGGTCCGAGACTAAGGGTTGTTCTGCCAGTCAGTTAAAGCAGCACGTTTATCATTGATGAGTACATTGATTTCCGGGTCATTTTCATCAAACCAGTCCTGGTGTATTCTTTCGATCTGACCGGGGGTCTCTCTGGGATTTGGGCTGCTTGTTGTCGGGTTGTTTATCAGCCCATGTTCGAGCTGCTCTCTGAAAGCATGTCCTACCACAGGATCCTCCAGATGCTTAGTATTAAAACCTCTTCTAGAGGCTTGTTGCCTTCGCTTTTATGGAGTGACGGGAAGTGAGAGCTTGGCTCTGATGAGCCAATGATATATTGATATGTTGATATTAATATTCATATTGAAACAGTTTATTTAGCCAGAAAAACACAGATACAGAGTGGATAATAATAACAATATTAACATGGCTGAGCCAGTTGAGAACCTGAGCTCTCTTGTAGGCACCTGATAATTATATACTGTACATTTATCTCAAGGAAATATTATGTAACATTTAGTATCATCTGGAATAGTACAATAGCATGGTGGTATTTTTTTTTTTGTATGGAGATCAGCCCACCCGGCACAGGTCACTGATCCACGTCAGGGCCTGGGGGGCGAAAATACAGTATAATACAAGATAATAATAATAATAATAATAATAATAATAATAATAATAATAATAATAATAATAATAATAATAATAATAATAATAATAATAATAATAATAATAATAATAATAATAATAATAATAATAATAAAAGTTTTAATAAAATAATTATAATAA